GAAGGAGAGGGAAAGGAGAGGGAAGAAGGAAAGAAGGAAAGAAAGAGGGAGGGAGGAAAGGAAGGAAGAAAGAAGGAATGAAATTGAGAGAGAGAGGAAGGGAAGGAAGGAAGGGAAGAAAGAAGGAAAGAGGGAGGGGAGGAAGGAGAGAGAAAGAGAGAGAGAAAGCAAGCAAGCAAGCCTTTGATAAAGAAAGGCCCAGCTGGGTGGGACACGCAAGTCGTGGGAATGCAACAGGGGAAAACTTGCATTGCTGGAAGGCGGGTCCCCTTGCAGCCTTTTGCAAGCGGAGGTGTGTGTGTGTGGGGGGGTGGCTTTTGCCCGGAGCCCCGCCTTGCAATGGGCCGTTCCTTCCTGGCTAGCTGGGCACACGCGAGCTCCACTCCCCGGGGAAGGCGAGAGAGGCGTCGGGCGCGGGGCTGGCCGCTTTCTCTAAGCGCCGTTGCGGGGGCTTTTGCAACCGGCTTCCTCCCCTTTCACCCCCCGCCTTCCACCTTCGGGCCCAGGTAAGCCGAATAACACCCCCCCACCCCCACCCCCACCCCCGGGCGTGCAGGCTCTTTGCAAAGCGGGGAGGGGGGTGTCTGTGAGTGGCGTTCCCACGACCTGGGGGGTGCAGCCTGGGGGGTTCCCCCAATCGCCCCGGGTGGGCGGCTTTCCCATCCCGGGGGAAGGGCAGGAACGGGTGGAAACTGTGTCTGGATGTGAGGAGGGTCGTGGGAATGCACCTCCCCCCCCCGCATGCTTTTGCAGGGGGAAAGGAAGGGGGTCGTGGGAATGCAGCCCCCCCCTATCTTTGCAAAAAAAACCTCCCTGTAGGATTGCCCAGGGAGGGTCAGGAAGCCAGCGGGCGCCCCTCCCGGCCTGCTATATTTTGAATTCCGTTTTTTCCCCTCTGAAATTGGGTGGGAGGGTGTGTGTGTGTGTGTGGAGAGAGAGAGAGAGAGAGGAAGGGGGGAGACCTTTGGGGAGGGGTGAGAGGAAGGGGGGAGGTGTCAGTTACTTTAGGTCAGCATTCAGGACTTTTTGCCCTGGGAGGGAGAACAGCTTTTGTCACCCCTAACTTGGTTGCAGAAGTCTTATCTTCCTGCTTGGGGGGGGGGGCGGGGGGGAGGGGCGCCCTGGGAGATTTTCTTGGAGGAGTGGGGTACAGGAGTGATTGCAGCATTAAAAAAAGAGGAACCCCCACATTCCCTCCCAAGGGTTGTGTTACTGTGTTGCATGGAAAAGAAAATACAAAAGTGGGGGAAAGAGATTCAAAGTAGCTTTATTTATTTATTTTAATTGATTTGATTTATCAAATGCTTACAAGATAATAGAAATAAGAATAAACAGGAGTGAGAATACAGGAAATAGGTTCGAATAAATAGGGACAGTAGAACAGGGACGGTGTAGGCAGAATGGTGCACTTAATGCACGCCTCTTACAGACCTCTTAGGAATGGGTATTCTCTCCCTTTCTCTCCTCCCTCCATTCTTTTCTCTCCTTCCTTCCTTCCTTCCTTCCTTCCTTCCTTCCCTCCCCCTTCCTTCTTTCCTTCCTTCTTTTATTTTTTATTTTATTTATTTATTTGATTTGTCAATCGCTTACTAGATAATAGGAATAAGTATAAACATGAGTAAGAATACAGGAAATAGGTACGAATAAATGGGGACAGCAGAACAGGGACGGTGTAGGCACGATGGGGCACTTATACATGCCCCTTACGGATCTCTTAGGAATGGGGTGAGGTCAATAGTGGATAGTTTAAGGTTAAAAGTTTTGGGGGTTTGAGGATGTAACAACAGAGTCAGGTAGTGCATTCCAGGCAACCAGCACCCAGTTGCTGAAGTCATACTTTCTGCATTCGAGTTTGGAGCAGTTTACATTGAGTTTGTATCTGTTGTGTGCTCTTGTGTTGTTGCGGTTGAAGCTGGAGTAGTCATTGACTGGTAGGACATTGTAGCAGATAATTTTATGTACTATGCTTAAGTCCAATCTTAGCCAGTGTAGTTCAAGTTGTCTACACCTAGAATCTCAAGTCTGGTGCCATAGGGTATTCTGTTGAGAAAATAGGCTTTAGCTTGGAAACACTCCTGCTCCCATCATTCCCAGCCTACATGGAAAAGGGATGCTGACTGGAGCCTAGGAACCTCAAACCATCTGGGAAGGCTTGATTTGGGAGTGAGGCTAAGATATTTTACGGGCTGCAAGTGATCGGAGGGACTTCCTTAAATCTTTTGAAAGAAAGCTGGTACCAGTGATTGCCATTTTAAAAAACCCAAGTTATCAATTTCAGGCATGATAATTTAGCCATTTAGGAAAAAATGGTTCGTTTCTGGCCAGTTTCTCTCTTTGCATCTCTTCTGTGCAGCTGGGATCGCTTACTTGAGCTCCCTATCCAACAGTGTATGATTCAGTGTGCGTTGTTAGTTATGCCTGTTGTATTCTGAGGAGAGAAAAAAGCAGAATTGTGTTGCTTGTCAGGTCCTTTTCAGGCCTCTTGGATCAAAACAGCTGTGATGCCATAAACCTTTGCTTATTTATTTAAAGATTTATGTGGCCACTCCACTGTCAAAACTATAATTTCTGATTATGTACAGCTCTTAAAACAAATCTGAATATCTACTTTTATACCCATGCAAAAGACTCTTAAATAGTCTTGACATACAACCATAAAAACAATTCTTAATACCTCCCAGTAGTCTTATTTTTACACACGGTGTAAAAGATTCTGAAATAGTCTTGAGAATTTGACATACAACCCGAAAAACAATTCTTAATATCTCTCAGTCTTACACCCAATGTAAAAGACAACAAATAGTCTTGAGAATGTAGTGTACAACTGTAAAAACACATCTTAATATCTCACAGTAGTCTTATTTTTGTACCAGTGTAAAACACTCTTGAATAGTCTTCAGTAGTCTTGAGAATTTCTTGCAAAATTCACTTTTTTGTTATCCTAGCCTTCAGGTCTGTTGTTCCAGATGGATCTTTATCTTTATTGACCCAAGTTGCATGCTCCAATTCACGTACAGATACCCTGTTATTTAAGTCTGTGCTGTGTGTGAATTATACAGCTTCTTTCTATTGGCAGTGCTATTTAAATAAGTTGCAATAATTTGTTAGAAAGCAGGTTTGTTGGCTGCGCGAAACTACTTTTATCTGAAAGTGCTTCAGGCAAGGAGTTATTATTTTGACACATCAGAAAACACCCTTCAATGGGATAAGCTGAGCACCCTTCCCGTTAAATTAAATTTTGAATTCAATTTATTTTTACTGTAAGCAGTAACCCCACTTGTGCAAGGGTGCCAGAAGAGAGGGTGAGTATGTGAATTATGGGTTTGTTCTTAAATAAACCTGAATTAAATTGCCTATTTGAAAGCAAGTTGAGACAACGTCTTTAGAGAACGTAACTTGTGATCTGCGTAATTTTAAACTATGGAGAAATGCCCCACTCCCTAACTGATTCTCAAGTTGTGCTATTCTTCAGAATATAATCTTAAATTTCACCTGGAAAAAATACAATCCAATGTGCTGGAAAACATTTGTCAGAATTTTTTTTTTCTATAGTTGATCCTAAAAACATGCAGTATTGGTTGTATTTGGCCATGCCCAGTTCTGGCAAAGTAGAGTGTAAATTAAGAAGTTCCCCTCCATTTTCCAAGCTTGTGGGGACTTGAAGATATAGGGACTTTGACTCCCATAATTCTCTAGTCAGCATTGCAGGGGATTCTGGGAAGTGGTCTGTAAATCTGGAAAAAAAAAGACCCAGTTGGGAAATGCAAATTTAAATCATAGATCACCATGTCTTAACCTTAGGTTGAAGATGGATGGGTATTTAATCCCCACGATTTCTCAGCTAGTTGTGCTTGCTGGGGAATTCTGGGAGTTGAAGTCCAGCCATTTAATAAATAATCAGATTTGGAAGGGACCTTGTAGGTCATCTAGTCCAACCCCCTGCCCAAGCGGGAGACACTACACCATATCTGACAGATGGGAGTCCAATCTCTTCTTGAAGGTCTCCAGTGATGGTGCTCCCACAACTTCCAAAGGCAACTTCTGTTCCATTAGTTGATTGTTCTCACTGTCAGAAAATTTCTCCTTATTTCCAGGTTGAATCTCTCCTTGTTCAGTTTCTATCCATTATTCCTTGTCTGGCCTTTGGGTGCTTTGGAAAATAGCTTGATCCCTTCCTCTCTGTTGCAGCCCCTTAAATATTGGAAAACTGCTCTCCTGTCTCCCCTGGTCCTTCTCTTCACTAGACTAGCCAGGCCCAGTTTCTGTAACCGTTCTTCATATGTTTTAGCCTCCAGTCCCCTAATTATCCTGGTTGCTCTTCTCTGTACTTTCTCTACAGTCTCAACATCTTTTTTTATAATGTGACCAAAACTGAATGCAGTACTCTAGGTGTGGTCTTACTAAGGCTTTATAGAATGGTATTAGTACCTCATTTGATCTCTATTGTATCCCTCTATTGCTGCAACTTAGGATTGCATTAGCCATCTTCAAGCAGCCAAGGTTGGAAAATAATGTGTTAAAATGAAAGGTTCTTAAGAAGCAAAAAATGGTGATTTTTGCACAAATGATGATGTACTCGATCTGCCTTTGCATCAGCTCATGTGTCTCTTGGATTTCAGCATGATGGGAGGGCTTTGGGGAGGGGTGGAGCGAAGTCAGCAGTGTGCAACCAGCCACATGTGTTGCTCCGGGTGCAAACTGTTATGTAAACCACCCTCTTGGCTACACCAGGAGCCAGTGTGTGCATGTGTGGCAATTCATCTCTAGTGTAGCAAAAATAGCACTCAGCTCAGCTGTGTTGACGTTTCCTAAGGTTTATAGCTTCACAAGGCTTGGAGGAAAGAGAGAGAAAGGAAAGAGAGGGAAAAAGAAAGAGTGAAAGAGGAGAGAGGGAGGGAGGGAGGAAGAGAAAGAAAAAGGAAGAGAAGGAGGGGAAGGAAGAGAGGAAGGAAGGAAGAGAAGAAGGAAGGAAGGAAACAAGATTGTTTTCTTTAAGTTTTAGCTTGCCTAAGAATGTTTGTTGCATAAATTCTTTGGATATGGAAGATTTTATGTTGAAGATAGTTTGTTTCTAAAGTAGGGTTTGGAGTACAGTAATTTTC